GGGAGAGGAAGCACAGAGAAATACTGGGACGTGAGTGGAGAACACACAAGATAAGAGTTGCTTCTTTTTTGAGCCAAGGCCAAGAAAAATAGCCATTGGGGGAGGGGAACAGCAGGTACATGATATTAGGAGAAGGTAGTCAGGGCGATTTTGAAATTATCAAGCATTATCTTAGTCCATTTAGGCTGTTATAACAAAAATATCATAGACTGGATGGTTTAAACAACCACATTTATTTCTCACCAGAGAAATGGCTGGCAAGTCATCAGCAGATGTGGTGTTCAGTAAGAGCCCACTTTTTTGGTTCATGGACAGCCACCTTCTCATTGTGTCCTTACATGATGTAAGAGATGAGGGAACTGTGTGGAGTCTCTTTTACAAGGGCACTACTCTCATTCATGAGATTAACCTAATCACCTAATCACCTGCAAACTGGTGCAGCCAATTACAAAAACTAAAAATAGAGCTACCATATCATCCTGCAATCCCACTCCTGCACATATACCCAGAGAAAAACACAGTATGAAAGGATACATGCACCCCAGTGTTCACTGCAGAGCTGTTTACAATAGCCAGGACATGGAAGCAACCTAAATGTCCTTCGACAGAAGAATGGATAAAGAAGATGCATATACAATGGAATACTACTCAGCCATTAAAAAGAATGAAATAATGCCATTTGCAGCAAAATGGATGGACCTAGAGATTGTCATACTGAGTGAAGTAAGTCACACAGAGAAAGACAAACATTGTGTGATATTGCTTATATGCGGAATCTAAAAAAAATGATACAAATGAACTTATTTACAAAACAGAAACAGACTCACAGACTTAGAGAATGAACTTACGGTTACCAGAGGGGAAGTGTGGGAGGGAGGGATAGTTAGGGAGTTTGGGATTGACATGTACACACTGCTATATTTAAAGTAGACAACCAACAAGGACCTACTGTATAGCACAGGGAGCTCTGCTCAATACTCTGTAATAACCTAATTGGGAAAAGAATTTGAAAAAGAATAGATATATGTATATGAATAACTGAATCACTTTGTTGTACTCCTGAAACTAACACAACGTTGTTAATCAACTGTACTCCAATATAAAATAAAAAGTTAAAAAAAAAATAAGGGCACTAATCTCATTCATGAGATTAACCTAATCACCTAAATACCTCATAACCTAATCACCTCCCAAAGGCCCCCTCACTTCCTAATACTGACACATTGGGGGGTAGGATTTCAACATATGAATTTTGGGGGAATGCAAACATTCAGTCCATAACAAGTATATTTAAAGAAATATAGTGTCATTATTTCAGGTACACACTACCAGGAAGCAGAGCAAGGAACTATAATTACATAAAGTTTCTTAAGGGAATTGCTTTCAATAAAACCTGAGTGACTTATAGTTAATGAATCAATTATTTAAGGATAAATGGGTACTTCTGAAGTGTGTAAGGGTGCTTAAACTGTCTTGTTCTCCTCAAAATTTCAGCAACTGCCTACAGTTTTGTTTATACCATTTATTTTCGGAGTAAAACTTCCTTTACACTTTCTCCCAACAGTGGCCTCCACTCTCCCTGACATAGGCTCTACCACAACAAGGTGTCAACCATGAGCTTCACCTTGAGCCTCCAACTGCTCTGGCACCAAGGCACTTTATCACTGTGTTCTGTTAAAACCTGGAGGACTGTTGTCTTCCTTGGCCATGGCCCCAAACAGAAGCAACTCTTACCTTCTTTGCCCCAAACAGAAGCAACTCTTACCTTCTTTGTTCTCCACTCGTGTCCCAGTGTTTCTCTGTGCTTCCTATCCCCTCCCCACTGCTTCCCTCCTTCCCAAAGTTTTCCACCGAAACAAGCTCTCCTCCATCCTTTAACTATTCACAGAAAGCATCTTCCATCTCTTTTTCCTGGCTTAAAAGCTTTCTCCCCTAAGACTGTTGCTCTCAAAGATTATCAGGCTTCAGGAGACCATTCTAACACATTTCTTACTCACTTTACACCTGGAGGTTGGGAAATGGGGTTAGCATTTTCTTAAATCACTTACGCCACTTCCAGACCATTATTTTTTCCTATTTAATAATAATCCCTGCTTAGTTTAGGATGCTGCCATTTGGCTACACCACTTTGGCCCTTCCTCAGCTCTGTCAGTTCTGATCTCCATTCACTCCACCCTCTTCTGCACAGTTTATGGCTCTAATTCTTCCTCAACTCTCCAAGTATAGCCACCAGCCTGTGTGACTTCACATGGGTGACCATCCAGGGCCCTAGATTCTTGGTTCCTCAGAGTTCCATTGATGGGAGGCTCTGTCATTCCATCTACTCCTTCTCACATCACACTGAGGACATCATCATGTCTCAGAATTGCTCCTCTTTTGAATTCTTACTCTATACTCTCTCTAACCTCCTGGCCCCCCTTCCTTTAATCCCACTATTAGCAGTTCAGAAACCTCAGCAAGATTTTTATCCCCCCAACATCATCTTCTTCCAAACTATCAGTTTTTAATGCTGTCTTGGGTCCCAGCACCCACGGTCTATCATTACGCCTTTACCCTCCTTTATATTATTCTTCATTATAATAGTTAAAATCGGAATCACACTAGTTATTTACTCATCTAGGACTCTTCCACTAGAATATAGCCTCCTTAAGGGCAGGGACTCCAGTTCACTGAGTCTAATAGGATGAACCACTAATGAAACTCACACATAGTATAGATTCACTGAATATTTGTAGAAGGAAGAAAAAAAAGGAGAGAAGGATACAGATATTTCTTCAATCTAGAGACTAAGATCCCCTTATTTAGTCCAACAAGTTTAAACCTGAAACAACTTTTCAGAAATGTGTATATTAAAATGACTCAGTAAATCTAAGAATATATTATTCAACATTAGAGGGTTGATTTAATCCTTACTGGTACATCTAATAAGATAATACTGGGCAGTCAATGATAAATGACTTAGAAGAATATTTAACAACATGAAAATTTACATATATATGGATAAGTATAAAAACCTATTACAGTACAGTATAGACTATAATCTCATGTTCATATAACAAAAAAAGACTAAAGAGAAAAATCTATGTGGCCTTGGATTTGGTGATGACTTTTTAGATACAATACCAAAATCATGATTCATGAAAGAAAGCAGTCTGACCTTATTAAAAATTTTAAAATCCGCTCTGCCAAAGGCACTGTTAAGAAAACCAAAAGACAAGCCACAGAGAGGAAGAAAATATTTGCGAAATATTTTCACATGTCTGATAAAGGACTTACATCCAAACTATGCAAAGATCTCCTAAAACTCAACAATAAGAAAACAAACAACCCAATCAAAAAATGAGCAAGAAATCTGAACAGACACCTCACCAAAGACGGTATACGAACGGCAAATAAGCACATGTAACGATGCTCAACGTCAGTTGTCCTGAGGCGATGCAAATGAGAACAAGGATGAGATACCCCTACACAGCTGTTACAACGGCTAAAACCCAGAGAAACTAACCATCCCAATTACTGGTGAGGATGTGGAACAGCAAGGACGCTCATTAATCCCCGGTGAGAATGCAAAATGGTGCAGCCATTCGGGAGAGTTAGGCAGTTTCTTACAAGCCTAACAATCGCATTCCTGGGTGCGTAGTCACAAGATTTGAAAACATATATCCACACAAAAACCTGCATGTGAATATTTACAGCAGCTTTAAAGTGAAAATCAGAAGCACTCAACTTGTCCTTCAATAGATAAATGGATAAACAAATTTTGGTATGATTCTCCAGTGACAAAAATGTGAAATATTCTTCAGTGAGGAAACGAAATGAGCTATCAAGCCATAATAAAATATACACGAATGTATATTAAATGCATTCTGTTAAGTGAAAAAGTCAGTCCGAAAAGGCTACATACTATACGATCTCAATTATAACATTCTGAAAAAGACAAAACAATTCTAAAAAGAGCAGTTGTTGGCAGAGATTGGGGTGGGGTGGGGTTGGGTAAGAGGGTTGACAGGTGAAATAGAGAGGATCTTTAGGGCAGTGAAGCTATTCTATATAAAATTATAATGGTGGATATATAATACCCTTGTCAAAACCCATTGAACTTTACAGCACAAAGAATGAACCTCAACTGATGCAAATTTCTTAAAAAATCACTTAGGAGATCCTACAGATCCTAGCATGGAATGCAGAATGTGACAAAAGAATCTAATTGTGTTACAAATGTGTGAAACAATTACAGTGAAAGGAGTAGGGGGAGAGGTGTTGAGTAAGTAACTTTAGAAATGAGTGAAAACCATAAGACTACAGGCAAAAGAAACTGCACATAAATACTGTGGTCTAGTTAATAAAGTTGGTTCCCATATGAATACCAGTTAACAATTCTAATTCTGCTATACATGTATGCTAGAACTGAACCATTATTCCCTTGCTCTGTCAGCTGAAAGGGCCTAAAAGCAAGGACACCCCAGTAACAATGAGCATACCTAACACCCAGATCTTGCTTCCTAACACCATTCTCTAATAAAAGGACCAGGATTCCTTGGAGAAATGGCTGACTAGGACCAAGACCATGAAGATAACCCTACACCATCTTGCAGTACCAGAAAGTAAGGAAGTACTCAAACAAACAGAACCACTTACAATTAGGGGGTAATGTCAAAAGGCAAGGACACAGAGCCAACTGAAAGAGCTCCCAATAGTGAAAGCTGGAAAAATTTGTGCAAGAAAATAAATAAAGCAGTATTGGATTATAACCCAAAGTACAAAAAAGTATATTCATAGGTATATTCATATACTCAAAGTGTATTCATATGTTCACAATGATAAATAAATAAATAAAAATAAAGCCAGCTAGATAGATAGATGGATGGATGAAGAGGAAACAAATCTCTCATGCAGAAGAATCTCAAATAATCCATATAGACTCTCCATTCTCAAGGATGTGGACTTCCCTCTCCATAAGTCTGGGCTATGCATAGTGACTTCCTTCCAAAGAGGACAGGATGGCGAGAGGGAGAGAAAAGAGTCACTTTACAGGGGAGACACCTGACAACTACTACTTCATCCAGGAGGTCAAGGTCAACATCAACGGTGATAAGTCATGTGTATCGTTTGCATCCTTGATACGATGGGATCAGAATGCATTTTACCTCCACGGTCTTCCTTTCGACAACCCATAATCCCAGTCTAATCATGAGAAAACATCATACAAATTCCTAGTTAAGGGATATTCTATAAAATGCCTGATCAGTACTCCTCAAAACTGTCAAAGTCATCAAAAACAAGGAAAGTGTGGGGCTTCCCTGG